GACAGACTGCATTTTTGAAGGTTCCGCAAATTTACAAATGGGCTTCTCAAGGAGCATGGTTCATGAATGGCATGAGACCACAATACGTTACTTTGACGGAAACGAATCACATGGCTATTGTAACAGGTACATTTCCTACCTTCTAATTTTGCCTCACATGCGATGCAGGCCAAAGCCACAAGACAGGATACGGTGGTCACAGAAAGCTTTTCCATCACTAATATGGCCTGGACTGCACTCAGAAGGGTGACGCCACGCTCCTGAATCGAGATTGCGCGCGACAAGGCCCCTGGCCTACTATTTACAGCGATGCTTCGTGCATCAGCTATGCCCGCCCACCGCGGGATGTGGTGCGTGGCTGGCATAACGTGTGAAATCAGCTAGGTTGATTGCCGTATCAACCGATGGAACGGCTGGCATATCCGGAAAACTCGTTTGGACGTGGCTCTCTCCCAAGCAAGCCTCCTTCACTGCTAGTGGGAGCGGGGTTTCGTTTTCGGCCTTGTCGACGGTTTCTTTTCATTTTTTCCCACTGTCGTTCCATTTTGCCTCTCCATACTCAGTCTGCGTGTGCTTATAGAGGGGCATCTAGGGAATATTTTGCTGAGGAACTTTCCGGCAACGACGGCAATCTCTGCGAAGAAAAAAGTGCGACCTGGGCAGAATGTCTTTTTTTGCCCCCCTTTTTCTCACAATTCCTCCCCAAAGCCTTTTCGAAACATCTCCATGCAAGATTTTGGGGAATTTGTAGGTGGAACCATGATTATGCGTCGCAGTGTAGTTGCCACCTTTCACCGTATCAAGATCAAGATGAAACAGCTAAACAAATGGGTTGAGTGCAAACCCCGCCCACACGATCCGCACGCCACTGTAGTGGGAGAGCCCCAAGGAGTTTTTTGCTCCTTTTTCTTAACTTTTGACTGAGTAACTATACCGAGAAATAACGAAATACTTCGTATTTTAGGTCTTCACGCAGAAAGTCATGGTATTGTCGCCCATATGTTCTATGAACGGGATTTGTCGAACACATTTCATTTGTAAGGCATAAAGTTGCTCGAATTGACTCAAAGTTACATATCGAGCAGTCTGTTGTCCTTCCCAAGGGCAGAGTATGTACCCACTACCCTCGCACCTGGGCTTGAAAAAGTTGATGGGTGCTAACTTAGTAGGGGGGACCACGCGGCGGCGCGGCGCTCTCTGCTCCTCCAAGGCTTAGTCCGCCGATGGCGCGTATTTCGAAACTGCCACGTGGCGACGAAATAGTAACTGCCCCTTGGACTAAGCCTTAGAGGAGCAGACGAACAGAGCGCCGCGCCGCCGCGTGGTCCCCCCCCCAACTAAGTTAGCACTGATTGACGCGCTGTCCCGCCCACTGCGATAAACCCCGCCCCAAATCAAATGCAATTCCGCTTCTCCGCTACTAAACGATTTTTCATCACTGGCATTACCTTTTACATCTCCACTCTCACCTACAAACGCAATAATACGTCACTTCGATCCCGAACTGCGCCTTTAATTTATTTGTACCACATAAAAAAGCAGCATAAAGCATTTGCCGTTGATCAATCCCTTTTTGGGATGCGGCACGCATTCTACTTCCATTTGTACATTCGTAGTGGCGTTTGAATGCGATTTGGCCAACCAAAAATTTTCATCTAAATCCTCCATGCTTTTACATCGAGTCATATACCATTCGAAAGAGAATTGTCTGCTCTACAAGATGCTCGTTCTTCTTCTTCCATCTATGTTCCATGGTTTTCAAATTTTAGGCCTGCGAAATGGGAGGTCCAGCCGACAAAAATTGACCAAACCGACAACTATCTCTAACTTTATCTTCCCTTGGGAGAAATCAATCAATACTGTACCCTCTACTTATGCATGACCTCTTCTAAACATTACACTATTAGGTTTCCCAACAAGTCGCGTCATTCCATTTCCAGACCTGGTTTTTCAACCAGAACTCGACGGTCAAGCACCATTACCTGAGATCGAGGTCGCGAATTTTTTTTATAGCCGAGACATTGAAAAACTAGTAGAATTTAAAGAACAAGTCATGACTAAGTTAGGAATGTACGCCTGGTTGATTTTCTCATCTCCTCAAGGATAATTTTTTTCAAAGAAATGCGGTCACTTTCGTGGATAAAGCACCTTACTCCTAAACACCTAAAATTCGAGCTAATTCCTAACAAACATTAAAACAAAACAAATGAGCGAATAGAGCAGAAGAAGTGCTCACAAAAGATACACCAGTTGATATAAAAATAGCGTTTCAGAGGAAGAATTTCAATTTGAAAATTGCCATGGCTTATCGGTCGGCCAATTCGAAAAGAAACAGGGCAAACCTTTTTCGGCAACCTAAGGGTGGAATGTTCAGAAGAGGTCATGAGTAAGTAGAGGGTACATCATTGATTGATTTCTCCAAGGGAAGATAAAGTTAGAGATAGTTGTCGGTTTGGTCAATTTTTGTCGGCTGGACCTCCCATTTCGCAGGCCTAAAATTTGAAAACCATGGAACATAGATGGAAGAAGAACACAATCTTTGTAGAGCAGACAATTCTCTTTCGAATGGTATATGAACTCGATGTAAAAGCATGGGATTTAGATGAAAATTTTTTGGTTGAAAAAAGCGACACTATTTATGAGACAACCTAATACTTCCATTTGTACATTCGCAGTGGCATTTGAATGCGATGTGGCCTATACAATGACTTGCGGGGGCCAGCCGATGTACAAGTCAGTGTTTTTATCCTCCCAGACAAGTCTGGTACCAATTAACCGACCCCGGAGCAGGGTCGGTCCTATCGTTGGTACTTTTTGAAAAATTTTTACGACCCCCCTCCCCCAAGGTGGATTTGATACGACCCCCTTTTCGACCCTCGACCACCATATTCCTCTCTATAGTATTTAATTCTGATACCACTCAACCCACCAAACTCCGCCCACTTTTTCCTCCAAAAATGCCGTCGAGCGGGGGGTATATACCCACTATGAAACAGCAAAAATTTACCAAATTCCCCTAAATTTCCAACCACTTTATCCCAACTCTACCTATAATCCCACTGCTCCATTCCATTTTGAATTTATAGGGGCGGGGGGGCTTGGTTGGCCTGGGCGACTCACGATACAGGATTTGATCCCCGGACCGCTCGCGTAGTGAGCGTGCCACCTGCCACTACACCACTTCCGCCCTTTGTACCACATAGAACGGTTTCGATTGTAGCATGTGTCCAAAGGCAATACATAGCTCAGAAACAAGTTCATTACAAAGCAGTCCAGGATGAAAACAAGAGAAAAATGAACAATTCTCTCGTCTTACCGAGGAGAGGGCAGCATACGCCAGTAGAGTAAGATGTATTGTAGGTATGACTACTGGAATTTTTCTGAAACGCCGGGAGCTATCGAATTTTCCAAGGAGGAATATTGGTACCCCCCACCACCCACCAACCCACCACCCTCTCCCCCCCATGTTGTTGGAGAACCTATAATGGGAACAAACGAAAAATAACTTCACCAGAAAGGTACTTTTGCGGCGTGGTTTTTTGTATGCTAGAGTACCAAATGCTGTGATAAGAAATAAATTTTTTCATCTTCCTTCCTTGCATTCCAGACGTGACCTTTTTGATTTGTGCATGTTACACAGACTTCTTTGTTATCGAACCCTTATCAACTTTACTAACTTTTACGACCTCATTCCATCCAGAACCAGGGGTGGAGATTTCAAGTTATCCTTCCATAGGCCTAAAACCAACCTTAGGCGGAATTTTTTCACTATTAGAGCTGGGCTGTCGTATTTGCGTATTACCAAATCTATACCCATCCAAAGCTCTTGTGCATCCTTCAAACGTGCTGCAGCAAAGCATATACTACATGCATAGATGTGTAGTGTCTAGGGTCTAATCGTTTCGCCTTAGGTATTCTGTTGTTTCATTTTACTACAGTGGTTGTTTTATATACTTATATTTGTTTTCTCACGCTGTCTTACATAGCGTAATGAATAAATAAATAAATAAATAAATAAATTGATGAAAAAAGCGAATAATTTTCAATTCTTCGATCCGCTTTCGAGGAGCATCATCTGCTCACGTTCACTTTTACTGCCAGTTCAAGGTATTATCAGTGCACCTAAGCCCGCGCGTTGGTCGGCTCTGATCACCGCCTGTGTCCAGAGTTTGCGATTCACGATTGAACGGCATAGGTTTGAGTACCTGTTGGAATGGTGGGAGCACCAGTGGGACATTATTGGCATTGCTGAACCCCACAACTGATAAAATCACTGCATTATACACCCTAATGATTCCACTCACCCTCTTGATATGAAGTAGTAAAGCATATTTGCGCTAGAAAACACGTCAAGTATCACAATCGAGATCTCACGCAACCTCAGGACGTGCAGTATTTCTCAAATGACTGATAGCCTCAAATCTGCATCGGAACGCCCTACACACACTCAAATCAAAATCATCGATCACAGTGGGCAATTTTCGGGGTCCGTACAAATCCCATCCTGATAGGGGATCACTATACGACCCTTATGATTAGCGCTCCACGGTGATCTTACTTGCAGTCTACTTCTGTCTCACGAAGTCTCAGAATGGATAGGGAAAGGAATTCCGTAAAAACATTAGGCTCTAAAAACAAAAACCTCCAATAAGTACCAAGAACAGTGCGCTGATCAAATCGCCCAGGGGACCCCTGTGGGCTGAATTGAAAATTGCTGATGAATGGCTGAATCTGGCAAAACTCCAGCAATACCCATGAAGGTCATTACCATTTCCATGCAGTTATACACCTCTACACAATCATCGCTTTCAGAGCAGATCCCACTAGACACTCAGCTTGCCTTCAATGGCCAGCTTGTGACGCAAGCTTTCCTAAGTTAAACAAGCCGACATACTACACGTTCGTTTTCTGAGTTGTTGCTTTTACGGAAGAAAGTAGTAGATTGAGCCAGCTAAACTAGTTTCCAGGAGCTGGACGGGGATCAAAGGTATGATGACTGGATGCTTGATATAGACAAAATCATAGAACTTTTCACAAGAAAGGACAAACCCATGAATTTCATTGCTTGGTGAGAGTTCCTTACTACAAGCGTCCTAGTTCAACCCTAGCATTCAGTCATTTTGCTAGCTGCTCTTATTGAGGCCGATGTCAGACTTTGCGAATCGCGCGATTCGCTAGCGTCCGCGGTCGCGTTGCGGTACCAGCCAATTGAGTGATTCACTGGCCGCGACGCGACCGCAGACGCTAGCGAATCGCGCGATTCGCAAAGTCTGACATCGGCCTAAATCTTATAACATAAAATTCAACTCCACAAAGTATCACGTCATTTTTAAAGGTTTATTGATGAACCCGACGCTACACTTCATACGCACGGCTTTTATGACGGTGCATATGTGAACACACTGTCCCGACTTGATGAAGTTTTTGGACATTTGATCAGTGAAATGGAAAAGCGTGGCCTTACGAAGGAAGTCAACATCATATTGACATCTGATCATGGAAATGAACAGGTCTGGCACTTTCTCAGAAAAACATCATCGGATTTCTACACCCGAAGTTTCATCTACTGTCTATAAAAATTGCGTTACCGTCCTGAAAGCAAACTCACGCTAGAGTATAGGAGGGAAGGGATGAAGGCTGGAACGAGAGGGGAGGCGCGCAGTGTACAGGGGGGAGACCAAAAAAGACATTTTGTCTCCAGACTCAAATGGATTTAATCACACTTTGCTCAGCTCAAAGCGTGTGCTCCCAACTTAGAATTGAAGAGCGCATTTCATTTCATAAGAAAATCTTCATAGTGGCCATCTACGTGGACGGCATCAGAAAAATTTGCCCCGGAAACATGGTGCTCTGGTCGAGCTCAATGGGGTTCTCGACTGATCGTGTACCGTTACGACGGGTTCCGAAGGGCGGGTTCCGAGGGGGTTTGCATAGTTAGAGCTAATGTCCCTAGGAAACTATCCCACGTTGAATCGATCCAAGAAATGTAAGAGCTTCAGGCTGAAGCAGTTACTGTAGGCCTCCCTGAGCTCGACGACGGTGACAGATGACGTCATATTCTGAAGACGGTGAGGGTAGTGGCCTGCGTGTACTTATAGAGGGACATTTAGGGAATATTTTGCTGAGGAACTTCCGTCAACGACGGCAATCTCTGCGAAGAAAAAAAGGCCGAAGTGCGACATGGGCAAAATGTCTTTTTTTGGCTCGTCCCCCTGTTATATAGCGCAGCGGCTGAAAGGCGTCGCGTTGGCATGCATTACCTTCAGGAAACCACCTAAGAGAGATAAGGCTCGATCCCAAAGCAGCTTTGTTTTTTTTTGTAAGCTATGTTGCGCTTATGTGCTGGGAGCCTCAATAGAATGTCACCATTCGTCTTTCACGCGGAATACCTACGATGCCGTAGCAGACTCTAAGGTAGCAGAGGTGGATATTGTGGTTCCAATTTGGAACCGTAAGTGATGCGCAAGAAAGCGACCTTTACGCGTTTTGCAGCGGGGAACATTGCGGAAACCTCAGGTCCACCGCTGATCATCAGTGGACCCGAGGGTTCCCGCAGAGAAAAATGTTTCGCGCAGCAAAACTCGAAAAGGTCGGTTCGGCCGCGTTCATAGTTCGCGACTCCGGAGATTAGGATAGTACGACAAAACATATGTATTGACGGGAGATTAGGATAGTAGTAGATTAGGATAGTGCGCTGACAAGATTAGATATGTATTGATCTATTCGCTTGAAGTCGCCCAATCTACTACTCTCCAGCGATTTCAATCGATACGTATCCAATCTTGTCAGCGCAATCTCCTACTCTACTACTATCCTAATATCCTGTCGCCTACTACTAGAACGAGGGAGCAGATGTGGAATGGAAGATGTAGAGAGAGAGCAAGGGACCAAGAAGGCGCAGACATCAACGCATCCACCACTCGCGTCCATTTCAGAACGAATTATCAGTCTTTTAAGCGTTCCTGGGCCTGCATCAAAATCTCTTCGCTCCTTTCTCCCATGCCACGGAAATGCTCACACCTCCTTGCTTGCAGACTGACCCGCCGTCCTCACGGAAAAAGTAATTCCACACAGCCTACTGAGGAACTTCTTTGAGAGCAAATCTGTGCATGGCCAAACAGACATTTGAGTAGTTTTGCCCTTGAACTGCTCCACTAGTACGGCCTATATCCCGCCTCTCAATCTTGAACCTTTTCTGATATAGCTAGAAACAACATTTCCCGCGAGAAAAAGAGATGCTGTTACAGATTAACGGCGCAAAAAACATATTCTGTGTAAAGGATTATGTGGATCTTAATCGAGTCAAGTTTGGCCACAACATGATTTACACCGATACTCAAGCCCTTGCTCGTGAAGTGTATAATAATCTATCAAATGCTGTGGATGAGACACTTTTGAAGATCAGAGTTTTTACAAAACATGTGAGTGCTAGTTTTGTTTGCCTTTTCAGCCGATTAAAAACAACGGAAAGTGAAGGAAACTAAAGGAAAGAGGGAAAGGAACTTATTAAATAGTCGACAACGCCAGCATTTGTAACAGCGTAACCCCGCACAGCCTTTAAATTCGAGGATTTATTATATTAGGTCGGTCCACAATTTTTGAGAACCTTTGGTGTTTTTCGATTTATTACTTATCTTATTTCTCTGATCTACTTATCCAGCATAGTATACATCATTATTATTAACAACATATCACCAATGCGAGGGTGGGTATTCAGTGCCTCTCTTGTGGACTTTCATAGAGTTCTGATCGAAGGAAAATTGTAGTCCCGAATCAGTTCTCAACCCAATCTGACATCATCAAGTTCCTGTTGGTTTCCCATAGTTCCTTCGGATGACCATCTATAATACTCATTGGTGATGTGGACTGGGTGCAGTGTGCTAACAAATCCACGAGCCGCAGTAGATTTGCTCAAACGATTCGGGAGTTCTGACAGTAAAAACCCAACTCCCTCTGAATTCGAACTTCCTGAGTCGTTGGCGCAATACGGGAGGGCCTTTGCGCTGAAGACCGGCATCAACTAATACCAGTGTCAGTGATGGGAAGAATCGTTGACAGCTTGATGGCAACGCCTTCAACTTGAAAGCAAAGGAAGACAAAATCTATTTTTTTCTGAGGTCGTTCGAGCCCGCCTTGCTAAGAAAATTCCTAAAAAATTGGAGACTCTCGGGCGGTCAGTTCTTTTAGCTCCGCCTTGTAGCACTAATCCTGCGTCAACGAACGACTATCCGCTCTCCTCTCTCAATCACCTTCTGGAGAAGAAATCTCACTTGAATCACCATAAAGTCAAAATCGACATCCAATATTTCTTCGATCAGAACTCTATGAAATTCTACAAGAGAGACACTGAATACCCACCCTCGCATTGGTGATATGTTGGTAATAATGGTGATGTATACTATGCTGAATAAATACATCAGAGAAATAAGATAAGTAATTAAATCGAAAAACACCAAAGGTTCTCAAAAATTATGGACCGACCTAATATTTTAAATTTTATTCGTACGAAATTAGGTATTGCGTTTCTGCTAAACATTTCAATCCTGACAACTGACCAAAAAACCAAAAACACTAGCTCCAAACGTGCCATCCACTCATGATATCGCCAAATTTGAAACAAGATATCTAAATCATGAGTTTTTCAATTACACACATATGGCAGAGAGAGAGGAAAATGAAGTCACCGAAAACGTCCGCCTAATACCGACTCAAAAGCAGGTGACTCATGAAATTAGATGTTGAAGAAGGAGAAATGTGTCCACCATGAAACGGGAGAGGACCCCCAAGCGACCGAAACGTGGCGTTCCTGCAGTTAAAGGAAGCGATTACGATAGATCTCACAGGGGTTTAAGAGGGGACGTGAGGGTCTCAATAGTACGCCAATGGCGAAAAAAGCAAAGAAATCCGTCAAAAATAAGCAAAATAGTACCCCTTTGATTGCCCTTTCATTTTCGACCATGGATGAGCGACGGTAAAGAACGACGTTGTTCGGACGTGTTAACCCCGATAGCCGCCATCATGCCAACAAGCATAGTGTTTTGATTGATAAGGCAATACGTGGGCAAGTTGGAAGATACAGCCGCTAGAAGGGAAATGGTCTATTCCAGTTAGGGGGGGGCATCATGATGCAGTTTCTCGGCGAGCTAATGTAAACTCGAACATTCCAGCTTCTCACGCATGTCAAGTGACTGCCCTCACCCCCACCCCCTAGGCTGGCTACACTCCCCCTGGCTCAGAGTTACCGTAGCTTTTTGGGAGTCACCGCACCATGATGCCCCCCCCCTAACTGGAATAACCATGATCAATTCTTAAATGAAAAGCCAACAGCAATCAGTCCATCCAGATCATCAACCAAAACTAGTGGGCGTTACGTCACTGTGGGGCGGGGCGTCACGCGGGTCCTTGCTCAGCAACCACAGCACCAGGAAAGGCCACACATCGCTTCCTTGGGCAGCCAAGTAATTGCTGCGTCTGGCGCGGTTTTTCCCCCGATGCGACAATTCCTTATCGTAAGCTTCCTTTAAGAGAGCTCCCGTAGTGATGGAATGAGGCTTACCCTTCCCTCTACATGCACTCGCCATCTGCCCGCCTACCCCACCAAGTGGTTCTTCGCTGTCGAAATTTGGCCTTTTGGTTAGATAATCAGATCAATGCATTCACATAGTTGACGTCTTCACACGGAGCTGCGATGGAGCTGCGGAGAACAACGGGGAAACGAGGGTTTTGTTCTGAGGGCTTCAGATCGCCTTCCCCTTTTTGCTCCACTGGTGCATCGACCAGCTCCACTTTTTCCAGGGAGGACCTATCTACCGTATCACCTGTCTTCATTTTAACATCCGGAAGGATAGCTCAATTTTTTTATGGCCCACAAAGATTCATCTTTTTGCGATCGCTTGCAACCACTGTAACCTTATTCTTTACCCATCATGAAAAAGCTTACTGTACACATTTTCAAAACTAGACAATTCAGAAAAAATGGAAAAAAAGCAAAATGAAAATGGGTATGGCTACAGCCCTAATGTAGGTCTCAAAGCCCGACGCTATTCACAACTTGCAGCCCATATGCAGTTGTATGGTTGTCGAAGTGTGAATGATTCTATCAAGGCACAAAAGTCACCCTCGACTCCTCATAACTAAAATCTCAATTTGACCTAGATCTCTAAATAAATAAATAAATAAATCTTACTATACAGCTCAACTGCTGCGATCTTTTCATGTCTAATGGTAGTTAAGGGCTTTCCTAATGATCATTTCTACAAGGGAATGTCATCGCGAATAGGTGACGTCATACTCGAACCCGACATCGGTTACGACGTGGATTTCACTTGTACGAGGAAGCAGTTAGACAAGTATGGTTTACGTTCAACAAAAGTTTCGGACCGGTCCCTTTTCTAACAAAAACCTTAAAGGAATCTTCCACGGAAAAAGCTCCGCCCTCATTACCACAGAAAACGATACCTTAAAGGAATCTTCCACGGAAAGAGTGATCATTTTGTCTTGTGTGTAGGATTAGTATTATCGAAACTAACGCTTATGTTCCGTTCTTTTTGCTATGCTCATGAGGCTAGGGGCCTAAGGGGTATCGTTTTTCTGTGGTAATGGAGGCGGAGCTTTTTCCGCGGAAGATTCCTTTAACAAGCTTGCGTTCGTTCAGGCTATACGATTACGGAAGGATAAAATTGAACAAAGCTTCACATGGCCAAGATCCAAAAAATAGCGAAATGCTTGCTATGCTTGTTATTGGTGGACCCGATGTCGTCAAGCCTCAAAGAGTTTGTCGATTTATTTTATGAATTTTGAAAATGAAAGAATCTTCCCCTTCACAGAGCAGTTTTTGTCACACAAGGTTTTTATAAGCACGAGCCGGTCAAGGATGAAAAAGTGCACGATCAGTGAGACGGGCGAATGGCTAACCGAGCCATCCCATTGGCTACCTAGCTTGAATGACAACAAATGGTGTTAACTTAAAGGCACGAGTCGGGATTGAATTGATGCGTTATTTTGTTCAAACATTAGGCAAGGGGTGCAATGAGGAACATTAGTGAGGAGAAAAAGCAAAAAGCACCATAGAAAACACTAAATTTCCCTTAGGAGGCCGGCCGTAGTACGACGGAGAGACACAGCGCTGCGAGGAGAGGGAGAACGCGAGATAGTACGTCGTACGCGAGAGGACGCAGAGACCACGTATGCCGTGGTGGATTACGCTGGCAGCGCGGGCAGCGCGGCGGGCAAGGCCTTAGCGCCATTGCCGCGCACTTTTGGGTCGCGATAGTGTCGCGCCCTCAGTGCTTGGGGAGCCCACTATCGCACCCTGGGAAGAACTTCTGCTGGTTGCCTAATCCTGACTCGTGGCTTTAAAGCATTCTCACGATGAACAGGTGTAGTCTACTGCTTAAAAACCAACAGTAGCTGTAGTGACTGGTTTATCAATAATAGAAGAAAGCGAAGGAATCTCTGAGAACCCTTGAAATCAGATTGCGACCATCGTTTGAGCAGAGTTCTGGAGGACCCTACAATAATCTCATTGGTTGGCTCCATCTTTTTAGCTAATTTTACATATCAAAGGAGCGAGATCAAACAGAGTTTCCGCAGAAGCGTGGCGCAATGCCCGCCCGTGCGATCAGTAATGTGCGTGATCCGCACTTAATAATGACCAGTTCCGATCAAGTCGGACAGCTGCGTCAAAATCCTTTCAGGAGATTTTGCCTTTTAACACGTTGGCGACGATGTCGGTCAATGCTGACCGACAGGCAGTCTGTCACATGGGACGATGTCGGTCAATGGTGACCGACAGCTTGAAAGTAAGCAAACTTAGATGGAACCCGCGACTTTTCTATTTCAACGTTTACTTCAGTGTCCTAACTTACTACACTTGTCTGCGAATTATGATCTTTCTAATTCCTGGGAGTTTTATTCTGAATTAGTTATCAGTGGCAGAAACGCGCTGTCAATTGAATCACAACCACAAAGTTCCCACCGTCAGCAAACTGGAAATCTCACTAAAATTGTTCATATCGACCTTTACTACATTACGATTAGGTTACTGTCAGTAGAATGTCCATTTCTAGCCTTAGGTTCCCATGATGGTCAAGTAGGCTCAGTCTTACTCATAGGCAGGACAAAAGTACCTATCCAGTCCATCAACTGCCAAATATTTCACAAACAATTTTTTGACCTTGAAATGACTCGTTTAAATCTCCTTATTCGATCATGAAGAACAAGATAACAGTCAAACAAAAGCTCATTCCGTCAGGTCCCGTTCCCTTCAAAGTTTCTAAATATAGCAGTGCATTCTTGGGAGAGAATGAGTAGTCACAATTGGTCAGACAGAGAGAAATCAGGATGTATGCACTAGGGATACTACCAACTATCACCACATAAAACAAACGAATAGCGCATATTAATATAAAAATTAAAGAATGCGTGAAATTCCGCTTCAGAACATTATAGAATTTGACAATGCCAGCGATGTCAATTGACGGCCTTTTAACAAATTTTAATGTTTTCTTGCTAATTGAAATTATTAAGCTAATGCATTGATTTATTGATTGTTTCACTGAAATATATTTTACACTAGCCTAGCATTAAAATCAGACTCAGACATATTATTATTCCTTGTTTCTAAGAGTGTCTGAAGAAATACTTCCCAGGTCAACCTTATCACTAGGCATTTTGTTGCATTTGGGATTCTCATGTAGTAAACAAAGTGAGAGGTGGCTTGTGCTCTGTTTATCTAATTACTGCTGTGACTGCTTTGAGCACTGCGACGCCTGTGAGATAAAACGTCTTCGGCCCTATTCGCTCATGGTCTGCAGCCAGAGACAAAGTGTAATATATATCCTTTCGCGTTTTTTTTCTGGGCGGAACAACGTGAGTTTAATGGATGATCCAGAGAATATTTCCTTGAAAAAGATACCAGGACGCAAAGTCTTAGAGAAAAGAGAAGGACATCCCGAAACACACGAGTAAATTTTATGATTATCCAAGACTGATGCGAAACCAGAAAATGCATTAAGGCCTTGCTTCATTGCTGTAAACGCCATTTTCACTTGCTCAAAGCACGCACTCTGTGCCCTCCCTTTCGGGTTCTCTCTCGCACACTCCTCTTCTCGCTGAGCCGTGTCTCTCCGTCATACCACGGTCAACCACGCAAAAAATGAAGCCTACAATTCTAGTGTTTTCCATGGTTCCTTATCCCTTTGATCCTCTCCCAACAGTTCTCTTCGCGTCTCTTTTTTTTTCATTTTCTAGTGGAGTAACACATCATTTAATCGCGTGATGTGCCTTCAAGAGTCATCCTCTTCGTCCCGTTCCTCAGAATACCTATCTCACCCTCTGCAGGACCTGATCGGAATGCATGGCGCGACCAAGAAAAATCGCTCAAATAATTTGCTCATTCAACAAGACCATTGCGCTACTTCTAAAAAATAGGGGATAAACGCACAAGATGTCAGGACAACTCTTATTTTTTAGGTCGGTAGAACCGCACATATTATCGATTTATATCCTTTAATGTGTCACCTTCTTGACATTCCTGCTGCTCCAAATAATGGAACATTCAGCAGGATTGCGTCAACATTTTATCTCAAGAATTACAGACATGGGGTGAGCTTTTGTTCATGTCAAATTCACGATATCGCATGTCCCCCAATATTTTATTACCTTACCTAATACTGGGGCGGAAGTGGTGTAGTGACAAGTGGCGCGCTTACCACGCGAGCGGTCCGGGGATCAAATCCTGGGTCGTGAGTCGCCCGGGCCAACCAAGCCTTCCATCCCTCCGGGGTCGGTTAATTGGTACCAGACTTGTCTGGGAGGATAAAAACACTGACTTGTACATCGGCTGGCCCCCGCAAGTCATTGTATAGGCCACATCGCATTCAAACGCCACTACGAATGTACAAATGGAAGTAGAATGCGTGCCGCATCCCAAAAAGGGATTGATCAACGGCAAATGCTTTATCCTTTACCAGATTAGTCCCCCGTCAACCGCCGGGACCTTCCTTTCCTGCGCAAGCTTTCTATCCTCCGCTATGGTCCCTTCCTCCTGTGACACCAACACCTCCTGGAAGTGACGCGTATGCAACACAATGGTGTTTCATACAGTAGAAGGGACACAATCATGATGTGACGGT